AGCCATGCGTGTGTCCCAGCCTCCTGGCAGGTTTCCCCGTGCTGCGATCTCGGCAGACCCTTCCCGGAGGGCCCCGAAGCCTCCACAAGTCGGGGTTATGATTCCGATCGTGTCGTTGACAACTTGCACGCGCCAGCCCATGAACATGACCAGGCAATAGCAGGAGGAAACGGAGCAGCAGCAGGTAGAGGAGGATGCCCATCATGAATACGATCACGACAAGGCAGCGGTGGGAGGAGAAGGGGGATGGAGGAGAACCAGGAGGCAGATGCGGAGAAGGAGGCAGAGAAGGAGGAGGAAGAGAGTACCCCCAACGGGGATATGCATCCCAGGACCCCGGTAAGCTGGATACACGTTTGTGGGAGCGCTCACCGCTAATCAGGGCCGCGCGTCGGCGAGTCTAGCAACGTCTCGTTTGTCCACCCCATTGCCTGTCCTCCTGGCGGCCCTAGAAACAGTTATAAAACTCTGTCGTACCTCCTTGAGCTCTTCTTTGGAGCCTTACCTAGATCTTTGGCCCCTCTGACAGCCTCCTCCTGCACTCTCCCACCTTCATCCAGTCCATGTCCTCCTCCCTCCACCCTTTTCCGTCCTCCTCATGCTCATCCTCCTCATGCGCATCTTCCTTCTTTATTTTCCTGCTCCTCAAACCTCCCATGGTCCCTCTCCTCCTTCTCCCCCCTGCCTTCTCTCTGCTCCTCTCCTTCGTCTCACCCATCCCTCCTCCCTCCATCCCTTCCCATTTCTGGCATCTTCTTCGATGTTTCAACTCTCTCCATCCCACAACGATTTCGAGATTATAGTTTCCCCAACTTCTGTTCTAATGAACTGGGCCTGACGATCGGTCTGGGCGCTATGTAGTTGCCATTGCCGCCCCGTCGCCGCCTCGTCGCCGCTCGTCGTCTGGGCCTGTGTGTCGGTCGTGGCGGCTATGTAGTCGCCGCCGCCGTCGCCACGTCGCCGCCTCGTCGCCGCTTCGCCGCCGCTCTAGATTGCACAGCACAGATTGCACCGCATAAAGCGCACAACCTATTTAGCACCACCTACAGTGCACAACATCTACTGCACCACATAAGTTGCACCACATGGATTGCGCCTCATAGATTGCACAACATACCTTGCGAAACATATATTGCTAAGCACTCTGCTTGGGGTCCAGTCTGGCTAACATTGGTTTATGAATATAGCACACTCGGTTTAATTCCTGCTCCTCCTCCTTCTTCTCCGCTTGCCTCCCTCCCTGCTTCCCTGCCTGCCTCCCCCCCTCCCCCCACTCCTTCCCCTCAGCCGTCCATTGCTCCCCCTCCCCTCCCCCCCCCGCCCCTCCGCCCCACACCCCCTCCACTCCGGCCCCCCGCCCCCCTCACCCAGTCAGTTTGGCTTTGTGGGATGTGTGGGTGTTACCGGCACCAGTTGCTGGACGGACTCGGCCGTCCATGTGTTCGCCCCACCCCCACAGGCTTGAATCAGTATCTCTCCGGAATCGCTCGTGGGCTTTGGCCAAAGGTTTCGAGCATGACGGAGAAGGCCACCAGACGTGACAGTACGTCATGAGGGTCGGCCCTCTGTTGTATTGCATGTCTCTCTCCAGCACTGCCGATTGCCATTGCACCTCTGGCACTGCCACACTCCCAACTCCAGCTCCAGTTGCCCCGCCCAAGCTCGGCGGCCAAGTGCAGCGCCGTGTACCTCCACGACGACGGCGGCGAGGAGTCATGGGGGGAGGAGGAGGAGGAGGAGGAGGAGGAGGAGGAGGAGGAGGAGGAGGAGGAGGAGGAGGAGGAGGAGGAGGAGAAGGAGGAAGAAATGCTTATCGAATCCCAGTTCCAGCTCCAGTTGCCCCGCCATTTCCTCCCCCCTCCGGCCTCTGCCCCTCCGCCACCCGCGGCCGCAGGCGCGCGGCGAGTGGATGGGCAACGACTGCAGCCGGGGCGCCATCGTGGAGCGGTTCGAGTCGCTCAGCCGGCTCGTGGGGCCAGAGGTGGCCCTGGACTCTGCCACCAAGGACCTGCCGAGGAAGGGCCCCGAACAGGAGGAGGGGGAGGAGGAGGAGGGGGGGGAGGGGGGGGAGAGGGGGAAGAGGAAGGGGAGGAGGGAGGAGGAGGAGGAGGAGGAGGAGGAGGAGGAGGTGGAGGTGGAGGTGGAGGGGGGAGAAGGTGGGGGGGGGGGAGAGGGCCTGATGATGATGATGATGAGGAGGAGGAGGAGGAGGAGGAGGAGGAGGAGGAGGAGGAGGAGGAGGAAGGTGTGGAGGGTGAGGATTGTCTGGAGAAGGAGGAGGTGGAGCCGAAGGAGGCAAATTGGGAAGAGGGCTTCGACGTGTGCAGCCCGTCTTGGAGCCCCGCTGACGGCTGGCTCCGCCTCGAGTTCCTGGGCGGAAGGCGCCCGAGGAGAGGCCGGAGAATCCCCACCAGGGCTCAATGCCTGGAGGATGGAGGAGCGCGCGGTGACGTCAGGGAAGGGAAGGGGAGGGGGCACGTCCCATAACTGTCGGGAAGCAACGGGCGCCGCGGCCGTTCCAGGCCGCTCCGAGAATGAGCAAGCCTGGAAAAGGAGTGGGGGGGATCAAAGCCTGCCACCACTACACAGATGGAGGGCGGAGGAGCATACAAGTGGTTAGCTCCTCCGAGGCGGACACGTGGTGGGTAGCGCCTCCCGCGGGCACAGCGCACGCCACCCTGTACGGGGTCCGAGCGGCGGGCTCCCGAGAGTACACCCACCACGAGGCTGGACAGGCGGCGGTAGACAAACACTCTGGGCAGGCTGTGCCGCCCGGAGAGGGAGGGAGAGAGGAGGGGAGCAGCAGGCAGGCAACGACCAACGCGCAGGCGGGGGGCCGGGGCCGGCGGGACGAGGCGGGCGGGCGGGCAGGCGGGAGGGGAGGTAAGCAGAGGGCTGCAGGCGGGAGGGGAGGGGGGGGGGGGGGGGCGCAGAGCTGCACGAGACGTGCCAGCAAGCTGTGGGGGGTCCCGGGAGGCGCCAGGGAGGGGCGGGGGCCGCCGACCCTCCTCCCCAGAGCGCCCACGGCCTCGAGGGCGGCGGTCTGGGACTCCGCGTCGGGTGCAGTGGCTTGTCAGGCAGCGGCGCAGCGCCCTGGCGCGCCCATAGCCCGACCAAGCAATGTTCTAAGAACCTTTTTTGTGGCTTCCACGAGAAATGTTCTTCGAACATTTCTGGCGGGGTCTGTCTTGTTTTATCACTTCGGGTTTCTGTTCTAAGAGCACTATTCTTCTTCTTAGAGCATTTCTGGGTGCTAAGAACATGTCGTGGTATGACTGTAGGACTGCCGGGACGGTCGGTCCCTGCTCAAAGCTTGTTCCTTCCGTTCTGGAGGATGTCCTCTCTGTCCGTGCGCTACGGATCGTCTCGAAGGTCCCGGCGGCTCCTCGGAGGACCCTCGGAGGCCTTCGGCGGCCCGCGGGGGCTCCTCGGCGGCCCTCGGAGGCGTCGCCGCCACACCCTTCGAAGCTCGAGGCTTCGGGGCTTCGAGCATCGGGGCCTGAGGTGTGTTGTTGGTCCTTGGTTGGGCTTCAGACGCAGGCCCCCCAAGGCGACATACGAATACGTGGGCTTGAGTGAGGTTTGGGGTATGGCCTTGAGGGTATGTCTTGAAGGTACTGGAGTCTCTGGGGCTCTGCCAGCCAGACCCTGCCTCCCCAGAGGGTCCAAAGCATCTAGGACGAAACCTCCGATCGCGTCACGAATTCTTCGTCCAATCTGGGCGTTAGCTGTCCTTGGTTCTGAGGGCTTAGGGAGCTCCCTCACCCCCTCCTCTCCCCTCCCCCTCTTCTGTCCTCACGCCTCCTCATTCTCCTTCATTCGCTCTCCTCCTCCTCCTCCTCCTCGTCCTGGTCCTCTTCTTCATCATCATTATCATCATCATCATCATCATCATCATCATCATCATCATCATCATCATCATCATCATCATCATCATCAGCATCAGCATCAGCATCAGCATCGTCATCATCATCGTCATCATCATCAGCAGCATCATCATCAGCAGCAGCATCAGCATCATCATCGTCATTGTCACCACCACTACCATCAGCATCATCATCGACATCAGCATAATCACCATCATCATCATCATCATCATCACCACCATCATCATCATCATCATCATCATCATCATCATCATCATCATCATCATCATTCAAGTGTGTCGGTTCGGTTGTAACGCTGTGGGAGGTGATGCAATTGAGCATTACGTGAGTTGCCCCATAATTCGTCCTGTGCTCGCTCGCCGTCTGCCTCTGCTTCCTTGTTTGTGGGGGGGAACGGGGATCATTTGTTTGCGCGTTTTTGTCACCGATACCCTTGGCCTCTCTCAAGCGAATGGTTGAACTATCGTTGTCGCGTTTTACCTCCTGTCCTCCTCCTTCAACTCTCTCAGGGTGCGCCATCTTGGTTCAACTGAGAAGGCGCACGAATGCATTTACAGCCGTCTCCGTGCGCTGTCTTCGGCGTCGAGAGCTGCACGACAGCTTCCCCAGGGGAGCGACCCATTCGGGTCGCTCAAATTGTCACCATCGCGTCGCCGTGGTTGCTGCCACCGTCACCTGCCGTGCGCCGAGTGCTGATCATCATCATCATCATCATCATCATCATCATCATCATCAGCATCATCATCATCGTCATCGTCATCGTCATCGTCATCGTCATCGTCATCGTCATCGTCATCATCGTCATTACCACCACCATCAGCATCAGCATCAGCATCAGCATCATCATCATCATCATCATCAGCATCAGCATCAGCATCAGCATCAGCATCATCATCATCAGCAGCATAAGCATCAGCAGCATCATCATCATCAGCAGCAGCATAAGCATCAGCAGCATCATCATCAGCATCATCATCCCCTTCGTAGGAGGAGGGGCGCGTCGCTGGCCTCGGGCGAGTTAGTCAAGCCCTGACCGCCCCTCCCTTCTCCCCGTTTTATTATGGGCAGCGAGCCTTCTCCTCCTCCTCTTCCTCCTCGCCCCCTTCCTCCAAG